AAAATGTGAAGAAATAATGGCAAAAGCTTCCCAGATTTGGAAACACATAAATTTACTCACTGAAGAAGCTCAAGAAACAGCAATCAGTATAAATATAAAGAAAACCATTTAGGCAGAGTCATGGGCAAACTGCTAAACTTCAATAAAGCAAAATTCTTCAAAGAAGCCGGGGGAAATGACATATTACATACCAGATAACAATGATACAAATGATAGCCAACTTCTCATTAAACACTATGGAAGCCAGAAGAACATAGACTATGCTTAAGGTGCCAGGAGTTTAAAACTATCAGTTCAGAATTCTATATCCAGTCAAACTAGTCTTCAAAAATGAAGGCAGGCCTGGCACAGTGGCTCACAACTGTAGTCCCAGTACTTTGGGAGGCCAAAGCAGGAGGACCGCTTGAGCCCAGAAGTTTGAGACTAGCCTGGGCAACATAGTGAGACCGCATCTCAAAAAAAAAAAAAAGATGAAGGTGTATTCTAAATCTAATAAAGACCATGTATGAAAAACTCACTAACACCTCACTTAATAGTGGAAAACTGCTCTTTCTCCCTAACACTGGAAACAAGGGAAGAAACAATCTATTCTCACCTCTTCTAAAAACTGTTGTACTAAAGATCTATCCAGAGCAATTAGGCAAGAAAAAGAAATAAAAGGCATCCACAGGAAAGGGGGGATTAAAACTATCTCTATTCATACATAAAATGACTTGTACATAGAAAATCCTCTTGAACTCCTGACCTCAAGTGATCCACCTGCCTTGGCCTCCCAAAGTGCTGGGATTACAGGCGTGAGCCACCACACTTGGCCTTGCTTTTTAATAATAGAACTTTATTGTCTCACAGTTTTGGAGACAAGAATTTTGAAATCGTGGTCCAATACAATTGGTTTCTTCTGAAGACCCTGAGGGAGAATCTATTGCTATTCCCTCCTCGCTCCGGGTGGTTTGCTGGCATAGGGTCAGCTTTAAATAAGGTTTGAAGTCTTATGATCTGGTAGAGTCCATGGTGGTGGAAAGAAGAAACTGAAGTTTATGGCAAAACCTAACAGGACAATCCCTGTAGGCTATTGGGATTCTAGAGGAAGAACATGCTGTCTGTAGCAGAGAATTATGTCCCTTCTGAAAGACAGCTCTGGTGTGCCACTGGGCCATGGAAGCAATGGGAAACTTAACTAGGGACATCAAGTGACTATATGTCTAGAGTTTTCTGTCATTAGCTGGATTCTGTCAGATGCACCACATCATAAAGTGAGATGGGCCAACACCAATTCATGGTAACATGGAAATGTTTCACCTGGGATCAAGCCCAAGCAGGATCCAAGGATGCAAATAAGCGGCCTAAGCAGGCAACTTCAAACCCTGTGCTACCCACCCAATACCAACAGTGTCCTTCACTCAGCTCATACCTACGGCCATGCTGGAGCATGGGGGTAGGTCCAGCTAAGTAGGCAGAAAAAAACTCAAGTTTAGTTTATGGGTTGTCTCAGTATGTGAGATCAAGCCAAAAATGGATGGGAACTGAATTGTAGCTATTCTCAGGGGTGAACTTGAAAGTCAGTGGCAAGGGAGATCTTCCCAATGAGCAGCTACTAAAGCGATCACCAATTTTGTGTGGAAGAAGTGGCTCAAAGTGAGAGTCCATATGAACTCATGGGCAGAGGCAAATTGCCAGCTGGTCAGTGTCTTGGAAGAAGACTCGAAGATTGGATACAACAAGGTCTGAAGTAGAGTTATATGGGGCTAGAGCACAAGGCGTGAAGATGTTTACCTCACATCAATGCCCACTAAATAGCATCTGCCATGGATGAGACACTGAATATCCAAGTAGACAAAATGACTTGGCTGCTTGATGTCAGCCATCTATTGACTTCTTGGAACTGGCACAATGAGCATATGTATGGAGTGGCTACAGTGGCAGAGGTGGAGGCTATGCATGGACTCCTACTTAGTAAAACTGATTTAACAACTGCTATCTCTGAAACTTCAGCTAAACACTGACAGACACCAACAGTGAACTCCCAATGTTACACTGTTTCTCCAGAAGACTACTAGGTCACTTCATAGCAAGTTGACAACATCGAGCTTCTTTCATCGCAGAAGGGCCAGTGATTTGTTCTCAGGTGAACAGATTTACTTTTTCTGGGTGAGGGTTTGACTCTTCTGCCCTCATAGCTTCACTCACTATCACTACTTAGGAGCTTACAAAAGTGTGTGAAACCTGCAGGCTGCTCTGACCAACATCAAGAAGATTCTGGCCAGGCTCTATGGCTCACGCCTGCAATCTCAGCACTTTGGGAGGCTAAGGTGGGTAACTCGAGTCCAGGACCTTGAGACCAGCCTGGGCAGCACAGAGGGATCCCATCTCTACAGAAAACTTTAAAACATAGCTGGGCATGGTGGTGAGCATCTATAGAGGATAACGTGGGAGGATGGCTTGAGCCTGGGAGGTCAAGGCTGCGGTAAGCTGAGATCGTGGCCACTGCACTCCAGCCTGGGCAACACAGCGAGACTGTCTTAAAAAAGAAAAAAAATCCAACATTTATTTAGTGCTTAGTATGTACTAGGCACAGCTCTAACTTTACATGTATCAAAGGAATTCAGTCTACAAAACCCTTTGTGATAGGCAGTGTTATTAAATCCATTTCTTTCTTTTTTTTTTTTTTTTGGGGGGGGCGGAGTCTCGCACTGTCGCCCAGGCTATATAAAGCAGTGGCGTGATCTCGGCTCACTGCAATCTCCACCTCCTGGGTTCAAGCAATTCTCCTGCCTCAGCCTCACAAGTAGCGGGGACTATAGGCTCACGCCACCACGCCAGGATAATTTTTCTATTTTTAGTAGAGATGGGATTTCGCCATGTTAGGTTGGTCTCGAATTCCTGACCTCAGGTGATCCATCCACCTCGCCTCCCCAAGTGCTGGGATTACAGTCGTGAGCCACTGCGCCCTGCCCCTCCCCGCCCTTTTATTTTTGAGACGGAGTGTTGCTCTTGAGTGCAGAGGTGCAATCTTGGCTCACTGCAACCTCCGCCTCCCGGGCTCAAGCGATTCTCCTGCTTCAGCCTCCCGAGTAGCTGGGGCTGCAGGCATGCACCACCACACCCGGCTAATTTTGTATTTTTAGTAGTCGAGACAGGGTTTCTCCATGTTAGTCAGGCTGGTCTCCCAACTCTCGACCTCAGGTGATCTGCCCGCCTCAGCCTCGGCCTCCCCCCTCCCCCGCTTTTTACTGATCAACTTTTGTTAAGCATTCTGTGGTCCACAAGAAAAAAAGCAAACATCAAAGAACAAGAAACTCATAAAACCAGCCTTCCAGCCATCAATATTCTGTATTCCACAATGGCTGAGGCTGGACTTTGTTAACCATGGAAGGCTTGATGTCTGAGAAAATAGGCCACTTTTCTTTCAGTAATGCTGAAGCACTGACTTAGTAATAACAGCTGTCCCCTGTACTAGCATTTAATAGGTAATCAACAATGTTTGCTGAATGTCAGCAGCTAGACGTTAGCGACATCTTAAGGGTAAATCTTCGGCTTTAAATCACAGAGTGATTTAAAGTGACTTACTTTGGCAGAGTAAATCTTCGGCTTTAAACCACATTTTCCGACCCAAAGGCCAAAAATAGGAAGTTTCCTAAATTGATCTCAACCTAGTAAAATTTCAGAAAACTGAGAACTTTGTGTCAAGAGCATACTAACAAAGTTTATCTTTTGTCGTTTACCATCATTAAAGCCATATAATAACATTTTGCAAGGAAATTTTTAGAAATAGAATAAAGCATAACTCCTTTTCCAGAGAGGCAGACACAAAGAATATTCTGTAAAGTTTTTGTAATGCATTAAAACGACGGCATAACATTTTATCCATTTCTGTAAAAATCCTTCCACATGTGTTAAAGGACACAACTCAATGCTACTTTAGGGGATTAAGAAAAATCTGAGTAAGGCCGGGAGCGGTGGTGCACGCCCGTAATCCCAGGACTTTGGGAGGCCCAGGCGGCGGATCACTTGAGCCCAGGAGATCAAGACCAGCCTGGGCAACATAGTGAGTCCTCATCTCTACAAGCAAGGCGTGGTGGTGCACGCCTGTGGTCGTAGCTGCCACGGAGGCTAAGGGTGGGGAATCGCTTGAACCCAGGGGTTGGAGGCTGCAGTGAGTCGAGATCAGGCCACAGCACTCCAGCCTCGGCCACAGAGCGAGACCTCGTCTCAATCTCGGAAAAAATTAAAGGCAAAGCCTTCAAGCTTCAAGTCATTTCTTCCAAGAAGAGGACAGGGCCGGAGTCGGTCAAGGTCAAGGGGCAGATGAGTTGATAACGCCGCCACTCATCGATGAAAACGGCCTCCCGGCTGACCTCCGGAAGCGGACGTGAGGAGGGGCGGGGTAGAGCTCCCGAGTAGAAACTCAACCTTGGGCAGAGTTCCTCTCCCACTGCAGCCTTGAGGAACGCGTTCCCGGGTACCCCCAACCGCAAGTCAGAAACGCGTACAAGATGGCGGCGCATCACGTGGGCAGCGCGGTGACGCAGGACGGCGGCCCGCGCGGAGGCAGCGCCGTAGCTCCCCCACAACGCACACTCGCACTCACTTTTACCCCCCCTCCCCCCCCGGCCCCGCCCCCTGCCTGGTGTAGATCATGCCGCCAGTGGCGGCCCTGACTGCCGAGGAAACGGTAGCTTAGGGCAGTTGGCTGTTAAGTGACACTGATTCTTCCCGCCCCGCCTGACTCCCGAGAAGGAGGCTAGCCCCCCGCTGCGTGAGGGGGTGGGGAAGTGGGTAGTGAATTCGGATCTACCTGGGAGGGGGGAGTGGAAGTTCCCGCCCCGGACAGCGGCGAGGCGGCAGCCACAGGTAAGTCGCGGGCGGGGGAGGGACGTGACCCGTGGCCCGGGCGGGGAAGGGCGCGGGAACGTGGCGCCAGCGGGGACGCGAGCGGGTCGCGCGCCGGGTGGGGGTCGCGCGCGGTCGGCGCCGGTGGGGGAGGGGGCGCAGCGGAAGGGGGAGGGGCCGCCCGTGCTTCCGGTCCCCGCGCCTCGGTGCTGCCGGGCGCGTTTCCAGTCGTGCGTCTCCTCCTTCCCCTTGCACCCAAATAAAAATAAAGCCCGAAACCTGCCGCCGCGGGTTGGCTTTTGCCCTCAGAAGCCGCCCTCTGCGGTCGCAGGCGCGAGCTCTCAGTGGGAGGTTTCGGGGTTGGGCCCAGAGCCGGGCGAAGGGCGGTGCAGCTATGGCCTCGGCGTGGTGTCCGCTGAGCGGAGCCCGGGTCCAATTAACTCTGCGACTGGGTCTTCGGATCCCTCTGGTCGCCACGGCCCCGGCGACCCTGGGGAAGAGGAGGCCCTCACCCTCTGGAGCTTGCAGTCTAGCGGGCAAGCGGACTCACCGGCTTCACGCACGCCCCAGACAGTCCTGGAGAGATGCGCCTGGCAGCGGGGACAGAGTGGGAACAGCAGGCGGCTTTCTTCCCTGCTAGGAAAGACAGGGACGTCTGTTCCCCTCTGGATGGGCGACCCAGCCGAGGAGACTTTCTCTTTGATCTTGTGTGTCAAAACGACGCTCGGTATTTCTCACTTTCGTCGACTCCGTGCAGCGGGCGGCTGAATCGCTTTGAAATGATTTTTATGTGAAATAATGTGTGGTGGCGTTAGCGTTTTGAAGAGCATTTATTGGGCTGGTGGTAGTCTTTGAGAACCTTTATGCTTCAGAAGCTCGGCGTGGACCTGGCGGGCATCTTTGTCAAACTGGCCTCACCTGTGATGAGTTTGTAGGTATTTATGTCGGAAAATGCATTTTAATCACAGGTTTTTGTTAACAGAAGAAATGCGTTCTTCTAAAGTGCTCTTTTTTCTTTGGAGTTTATAATGTGTAGTTACCTCCGTGTCTTACTTAGAATCAGTATTGTTGTCCTAAAGTCGAATGTGTTTGCTCTTTAACACTTGACGTTACATTTTAGGGTTAGGTTTGTTCTGTGAGCTATGTCCATTTCTGCCGGATTACCAACAGGTGGCAGTCCCTTCTGATTCTAATATAGACTACCGCCTTTGCCAGTTTTTTTGTTTGCTTGTTTGTTTTTGAGACGGAGTGTCGCTGTCCGTCGCCCAGGCTGGAGTACAGTGGAGCGATCTCGGCTCACTGCAACCTCGGCCTCCCTGTTCAATCGATTCTCTTGCTTCAGCCTCCTGAGTAACTGGGATTACAGGTGTGCGCCACCACGCCTGGCTAATTTTTGTATTTTTAGTAGAGACAGAATCTCACCATTGTTAGCCAGGCTGATCTCGAACGCCTGACCTTGTGACCCGCCTGCCTCGGCCTCCCAAAGTGCTGGGATTACAGGCATGAATCACCGCGTCTGCCTTTTTTTTTTTTTTTTTTTTTTTTTAACAGAGGCGGTGTCAAAGGCGTGTGAACCAGAGCAACTTCATCTTAAACGGGAGCTGGGTAAAATGAGGCTAAAACCTAGTAGGCTGCGTTCCCAGACAGTTAAGGCATTCTAAGTCACAGGATGAGATAGGAGGTCAGCACAAAGTACAGGTCATAAAGACCTTGCTGATAAAACAGGTTGCAGTAAAGAAGCCCGGCAAACCAAAATGGTCACAAGGGTGACCTCTGGTCATCCTCACTGCTACACTCCCACCAGCGCTGTTTACAAATGCCATGGCAATATCAGAAAGTTATCCTATATGGTCTAAAAAGGGGAGGTGTGAATAATCTACCCCTCATTTAGCATGTCATCAAGAAATAACCATAAAAATGGGTAACCAGCAGCTCTAGGGGCTGGTCTGTCTATGGAGTAGCCATTCTTTTATTCCTTTACTTTCTTCATAAACTTGCTTTTACATCCCATGGTGGGCTCACCCTGAATTCTTTCTTGTGCGAGATCCAAGAACCCTCAGCTGGGGGTCTGGATTGGGATGTCTGTCCTGTAACATATTTCTGGTGACCATGAAGGGGGACTATAGTGCAGAAACCCTGACCCAACGGCTACCTTTGGGTAAGTGTTGGGGTCCTGTAACATATTTCTGGTGGCCACAGAAGTGGAAACTCCAGCATATATGTCTAGGAGTCTCTCCTAAGACAGAGTGGGTTAGAGGTCCTTCTTAATAAAAGGCAAGGATGCTTGACTGAACTTGGGTTAGAGGCCCTTCTAAGATTTAGGGGGTTAGAGTTCCCTCTCAGTAAAATCTGCCTCAGCTCAGCTAAGAACAGGTTCGGCACTATAGGATGGATGTTAGCTTCTGTTCTCTTTGGATTAATTGGCCTTACACTCTTTGCTGATGGCTGTGGATGACAGGGTTAGGCATGTACAGGATTGTGGGACATGGGGAGCTTTTTCCTCCCTAAGAGGGGAAACTTGAGAGCTATGGGACTGCTGGAAAAGATAGATCCCTTTGCTGCGGACAAGCAGCCTCCTGAACTTTTCATTGTCTGCTGCAATGAGTGGGTCTTTTCTCTGACTTCCCTGAGTTCTTCACCTTCCCCACCCTGCCACAGGCAATACTTTCCTCCTTTACTTTGCTTTTCTTATCTTTTCTGTTACTAAGGGCAACCATATTGCCAACAGACCATGTGTTGAAACTCAAGTCGGAGGTTGGATTAGAAATGACGGGCCCATCGGGTCAAATTTAAGCCTTGCCAGTTGGTTATTGGGTGCTAAGTGTAGTGGCTAATGTCTTTGTTTAATCACACGAATGTTGCTCCAGCCAGAACGAAGAAAAGATACTTTATGATACGGCTTGGCCCTCAGGGCGATGATGCCACAAACCAAAATACTAGGATCAGTAAGGGAAAGGGAACCCAGAAGCCTGGCATGCCAGCAAAAGGGTAAGAATTTCTTACCAGTCAGATTTCTGGCTTCTCTCTCACTGTACAAACGGTTAAGGGAATGGTAATTAAAAAAAAAAAAAAATGGCCAGGCATGAGCCACCTCACCTGGCCAGCTTTTGCACTTTCACAGCGGCAGTCCAGGTTTGATTCCCCACCTAGGAAGTAAGTTGTTTCTGGTTTAATATCTTCATGACCTTGTGTATTCTCTTTTCCGCATGACTGTCTTAAATTTTTCTTCCTCTAAGCACCTGGGGGGTTACCTTTGGCAAAGTTCAAAAGCCAGAAATATCAGCCATTTGGCATAAAAAATTCTTTTTTTTTTTTTTTTTAAAGATGGGGTTTCACCATGATGGCCAGGCTGGCCTTGAACTCCTGACCTCAGGTGATCCACCCACCTCGGCCTCCCAAAGTGCTAGGATTACAGGCGTGAGCCACCGCGCCTGGCCTTGGCATAAAAAATTCTAAAAGGATTTTATTAAAGAGTGCTGTGGTTAAAATCAGTTAATTAAAAATGGATACTCAAGCTCTAAAAGCCTGGACTACCTGGGAAAAACAGGAGACACCAAAGATCCCTTTCCTAGCCCTGTTCTTCCAAGGGGTCCATCCCAAAGGCAGTAATCCAAATAAGAAACTTAAGAACTGGCAAATGAAAAATCTTGCAACCCCTGTATTCATTTTCTTTCTGGGTAGGTGTTGTGTGTAATGTTTATATAAAAGAGCTCTAATTAATTGGCCTAAACAAAAATAAGCATTTATTTATTCTTTTTTTGGTTTAAAAATAAGCATTTAAATTAAATATTTTGAGAGCAAAATAAAAACTAATGCCTTTTAGTTCATGTAACTTTAGTAATCTTTGGGAAATAAAAACAGCTTTCAAATTGATAAAAACAGTCTAACTTATGCAGGTCAAATATTTTGTTAAATGAGTTAAGGTCATAAACTGTTTCTTTGACTTTTAAAAATTGTTCAACTTACCCTACCTTAAAGCCATTAGATTCTAGCTAAGGCCTGGGGACCTGTGGAGTTAGCCACGCCCCTAGCTGTGCTAGAGAGTCAGCTCTTATCTGCACTTCTACCGGCTGTGTCCTTGGCTAGTCTCCACACTTAGTACATAATTAAAATTGCTTACTAACCAGGATTTTCACCAAAAGTAAAAGCTGCTAAAACTTAACATTGTAACATGTAATTGAGACTATTGAAGAAACACTTTTACCTGTAAGGTGTGTAAGGAAAGTAGAATGTACTTTTGTTAAAAGATTATAAGAAGGCGTGGGAATGTGTTTTTTTGGTTTGTTTTTGCCTAAAGTGTTAAAGAATTGTTTTAAGCTGGCCTGGTGCAGCAGCTCATGCCTGTAATCCCAGCACTTTGGGAGGCTATGGCGGGCAGATCACCAGAGGTCAGGAGTTTGAGACCAGCCTGGCCAACATTCTGAAACCCCATCTCTTCCAAAAAGAAAAGTTAGTCAGGCATGGTGTTGCACACCTGTAGTGCCAGCTATTCGGGAGGCTGAGGCAGGAGAAGCGCTTGAACCTGGGAGGCAGAGGTTGCAGTAAGCCAAGGGCGCCACTGCTCTCCAGCTTGAGTGGCAGAGCGAGACTCCATCTCAAAAAAAAAAATACAGGAAGCCTTATCAAATGTGAAATGGTGTTTTGTTTTCTTTGGACTATATGTTCCAAAGTTATTGGGAAACTCCTGTAATTCTAATATGACTTAGTGTGGGTTAATAATAATTATAATTGCCATGCAAAAGATTGTATGCCACAGAAGTAACCACATTTCCTTATTTGTGGCTTTAATAGTGACTCTCCTAAAACTTTTTATCTTCCACAGATAATTGTTCTTGTTTTAATCCTCTTTAGAAGATAGTTTATAATTAGCTACAGAACTCTAGCAGGTTTTTTTAAATGCATGTTTCTAATAACTTTGGTAATTGTAACATAAGAATAGAGGAAACAACTTTCAGAACTCATGAAAAGCTGGAATGTTCATGAATATCAAATAAAATGTGTTACTTGAATTAACTGAACCAATAGAAAACTGAAGTAATCTTTTTAACTTTGATTAAAATGCCGCTGATTCTTTGTTTTTTTCAGAGTCAAGGAAAATTTTCATGTGAACTATTTACAGCTGGTAGCAATTGAATAAAGTATACTGCTGTGAATGAAATTTGGAACATACTTGTTTCTCTGATTTCTCTAGCGTTTGGAAACTAGTTCACTCCTGGGCTGAAGCAATCCTCTTGCCTCAGCCTCCTGAGTAGTTGAGACTATAGGAGCACATTACCACACCCAGCTAATTTTTTATTTTTTGTAGAGATGGGGTCTCACTGTGTTGCCAGGTCTGGTGTCAAATTCCTGGGTTCAAGTGATTGTTGTGCCTCAGTCTCCCAATGTGCTGGAATTACAGGCATAAGCCATCACACCTGGTCATATTAACCATTTTGAAACAGTTCTATAGTGTTAAGTACATTCACACTGTGTACAACCCATGTCTAGAACTTTATTTATTTATTTATTTATTTATTAAGACAGAATCTCACTCTGTTACTCAGGCTGGTGTGCAGTGGCGCAGTACCACTCGCTGCAACCTCTGCCTCCTGGGTTCATGCAATTCTTGTGCCTCAGCCTCCCAAGTAGCTGGTATTACAGGCACTCACTCTCCCTCCCCACCCACCCACCCCCCCGCCCCCGCTAATTGTTTTTATATTTTAGTAGAAATGGGGCTTCATCATATTGCCCAGGCTGGTCTCAAACTCCTCAGCTCAGGGCAGTCCACCTGTCTTGGCCTCCCAAAGTGCTAGGAATACAGCTGTGAGCCACCATCCCTGGCTCAGAACTTTTTTATGCCCATTAAACAGCAACTCTCCATTTCCTCCTTCCCCTAGTTCCTGACAGCCACCATTCGACTTCCTGTTTCTATGGAATTTTGCTTCTCTAGATACATCAAATTAGTGGAATCAAAGCTTTTCATTTTTGTAACCGGGTTATTTCACTTAGCACAACATGCTCAAGGTTCATCCATGTTGTAGCACGTGACAGGAGTTTCTTCCTAAGACTGAACAATATTCCATTGTATGTACAGTCACTATTTTATTTATCCATTCATCCACTGATGAATATTTGGATTGCTTCCACCTTTTGGCTATTGTGAATAATAATGCTGCCCATGAACATGGGTGTACAAATATTCTGCTCTTTGAGACCCTGCTTTCAATTCTTTTGGATATGTATACCAACAAGTAAAATTGCTGTTTTTAATTGTTTGAAGAACTGCCACAGCATTTTCCGTAATAGCTGCATCATTTGCATTCCAGTAGCAAAGTAGTATACAAGGGTTCCAATTTCTCCACATCCTTGCCAACACTTACTATTTTCTGTGTCTGGATATTACCCATTCTAATGGGTATGAGGTGATATTTCATTGTGGTTTTCATTACATTTCCTTAGTAGCTAGTGATATTGAGCACCTTTTCATATGCTTGCTGACTAGCCTTCTTTTCTTGTCTTTCCAGGTAACCTTTAAAAACATTAAATCCTGTCCAAATCTTTTACCAGTCTCTTTGTTAGTAGTTCCCTCCCTATTTGCCGTATTTGATCTCTCATAGCTCATTTATTCTCATTCTTAACCAGCCTCTATATCCTGAAGTTGATTATCTAAGTTTTCTAGATCTTTAGAACTTCCTTAGGTATAGTTTTATTTGTTCGACTTTTACTCAATAAATTCTGTATATTAAACTATGTATGTACTTTGAAACGTCCCTAAACTGGAGACAGATAATGTTTGTGTCCATAAACAGGAAGACTGTCATCATTCTTCAATGAGATAACATTTGAAAATTTAGTCATAATAGTTTATGTTCATATGTGCCTTTTATTAAGTTTCAATATGTTTTTGTGGGCCAAAATTCAAAAAATTTAAAGAATATGAAAAGTCCCCTTTCTATCTCTATGCCATTGCTACCAGTTCTTTTCCATTGAGGCAAATGATCAATTTTTATATGACTGTATAGTATACTTTAAATATTCTGTATCATATTTAATTTTAACTGACTTTTTCCCCCTTACAGTTGATTATGGCAGATTCCCACAAGAGTACCACGTCAGAGACAGCGCCTCAACCTGGTTCCACAGTTCAGGGAGCTCACGTTTCTCATATTGCTCAACAGGTAAGGGAGGAACCAAAATACTGAGCTAGTTAGGAATATTTTATATGCAGATTAATCTCTTGTTTCCAATCTATTTTTAATGCTTTGTTGTTTTGTTTTCTGAGACAGAGTTTTGCTCTCGTTGCCTAGGCTGGAGTGCAGTGGTGCGATGTCGGCTCACTGCAAGCTCCGCCTCCTGAGTTCAAGCAATTCTCCCAGCATTTTGGGGGGCCAAGGTGAACGGATCACCTGAGCCCAGGAGTTCGACACCAGCCTGGACAGCATGGTGAAACCCCGTCTCTAGTAAAAATACAAAAAATTAGGCGTGGCGCCGTGTGTCTATAGTTTCAGCTACTTGGGAAGCGAAGGCAGGTGAATTGCTTGAACGTGGGAGGCAGAGGTTGCAGTGAGCTGCGATTTCGCCATGGCACTCTAGCCTGGGCAACAGAGTGGGACTCTGTCTCAAAAAAAAAAAAATGAGAATTTTGGAAAACTTATGTTCACCATCATGAACCTGACAGTTTCTCAATATTTGCAGACATTTTGGTTACAAAATTGTCTTACAAAATCATGCATGGAGGCCGGGCATGGTGGCTCATGCCTGTAATCCTGCCACTTTGGAAAGCCAAGGTTGGTGGATTGCTCAAAGCCGGAAGTTTGAGACCAGCCTGAGCAACATAGGTGGAGCCTATCTCTTAAAAGGTTTTAAAAATTAGCTGGGTATGTTGGCACACACCTGTGTCAACTTGGCTGAAGCAGGGTGATTGTGAGCCCAGGGATTCAAGGCAGCAGTGAGCTATGATTATGCCACTATACTCTTGGGGGGTCCTCAATAAGTTTTAAGAGTGTAAAAAGGATTTGTGACCAAAAGGTTTGAAAACCAGTGGCCGAAAGGGTTAATCTTTCAAGCTTGATGTATCCTTCTCCATTATTTGGCTATATCATGTGAAGTATAACAGTGTCTTCTCCAGATGGTGCTGGAAAAATAAGGTGGAGTCTATTTTTCTGTTAATAGAGCTCTTTACAGAAATGTTCTAATTCAGTTGGCTTACTTACATATGTATTTCAGTTATTTTGGTTAGATGTGACTGTTCTCAAAATTTCCTCAGAACCATATTTATGGTGAGGTAGAGTAAGTACATTTCTAGGTAGTAAATTATTTTATAGTGATTTTTAAAAATAATATGGTTGGGCATGGTGGCTCACATCTATAATCCCAGCACTTTGGGATGCTGAGGATTGCTTGAGCCCAGGAGTTTGAGACCAGCCTGGGCAACATAGTGAGACTCCATCTCTACTAAAAAATACAAAAAGTTGGCCAGGCACAGTGGCTCACGCCTGTAATCCCAGCACTTTGGGAAGCTGGAGGTGGGTGGATCATGAGGTCAAGAGATCAAGACCATCCTGGCCAACATGGTGAAACCCTGTCTTTACTAAAAATACAAAACTTAGCTGGGCATGGCAGCGCTTGCTTGTAGTCCCAGCTCCTCAGTAGGCTGAGGCAAGAGAATTGCTTGAACTTGGGAGGCGGAGGTTGCAGTGAGCCAAGATTGCACCACTGCAGTCCAGCCTGGCGACAGAGTGAGACTCTGTCTCAAAAATGAATAAATAAATTTAAAAGTTGGCGGGGTGTGGTGGCTCGTGCCTGTAATCCTAGCACTTTGGGAGGCCAAGGCAGGCGGATCACGAGGTCAAGAGATTGAGACCATCCTGGCCAACATGGTGAAACCCCGTCTCTACTAAAAATACAAAAATTAGCTGGGCATGGTGGCGTGTACCTGTAGTCCCAGCTACTCGGAAGGCTGAGGCAGGAGAATTCCTTGAACCCAGGAGGCAGAGGTTGCAGTGGGCCGAGATCGCACCACTGCACTCTAGTCTGGCGACAGAGCGAGACTCCGTCTAAAAAATTTTTTTAAAAAATTAAAAAGTTAGCCAGGTATGGTGGTGTGTGTGTGTAGCAGACATGGGAGGATCACTTGAGCCCCAGAGGTCCAGGCTTCAGTGATCCATGGTTGCACCACTGTACTCCAGGCTGGGTAACAGAGCGTTATCCTGTCTCAAAAAGAAAAAAATATGTAAAAGAAATAGTATTTTACAATAATTCAGTGTAAACTGGGGATAAAGTCTCAGGCCTCCTGGAACTTACATTCTAATTTTGGAGAGACAGGCACCAAAACGTATCAGTTGGTAATATGTGCCATGGAGACAAATAAAGCAGGGTAGGAGAGAGAGGGAGTTGGTGGTGGGGACAGGGGACTTGCCCTTTTTATGCAAGGTGGTCAGAGACATCTGTCTGAGGAAATACCACTTCAATTATATGGACCAACTCTTGTAAAACGGTGAGACTAATATGTGCTTGAGAGGGTCAAGGAACACAGGTGGCCAGTGTGTTGGGAGAGGGACTGATAGAGGATGAGGCAGAGAGGGTTGGGGTGTGAAGAGGGGAGGGTGCCAGATAATGTAGGCCATATGCCACTGTAAGATTTGTGTGTTTTAATCTGGGTTGCGTGGGGAACCTTTAGAGTGTGTTACGTAGAAACTTCTGGCATATCTTAAAAGAATCACTCACAATCACTGCTCTGTGGAATAGAAACAGGAAAACCAGGCAGGAGGCATTACAGAAATGTACATGGGTGATGACAATGGCTTGGACCAATGTGGTAGCTGTGGTAGTGATGAGACAAAGTTAGATTCTGGATACATATTGGTTGTAAAGCCGATAGTATTTGCTTTTGGATTGGATGTGGAGTTTTAAAGAAAGGAAGTTGCTCAGACCAAAACTGTGAAATCAAAACCCAGCGAAGAAACCCTTTTCTGGGTTTTGACTTCACAGTTTTGGTTTGAGCAACTGTAAGAATGTAATTGCTTGAGCTAGGCATGGTAGTGCATACCTGTAATCCCATCTCCTTGGGAGGCTCAGGTGGGAGGATTGCTTGAGCCCAGGAGTTCCAGACCAGCCTGGGCAACATAATGTAGGCCCACCCTTTCTCAAAAATAATAATAATAATAAAATAACTAAAATTAAATATATATGTAGAATTGCCATTTATTGAGATGTACAACACTGGAGGATGTTTTCCTTTTCTTTTTGGGGGAATGTTGGCAATCAGGAATTTGGTTTTCAGGCATGTTGTGTTTGTAATACTATCAGTTGGTTTTCTGTGTTGCAGAACAAATCACCACAAAGCTAATAGCTTAAAACAACACACATTTCTTATCTCAGTTTTTCTGGAGTCAGGCATATCTTCGCTGCGTTCTTTGCTTTGGCGTCTCACACCAAGCTGTAGTTGAGGTATTGGCTAGGGCTGAATTCTTACCAGGAAGCTAGACTAGAGAAGAATCTACTTCTAAGCTCACTTCGTTTGTTGACAGAATTCATTTCATTGTGGCTGTAGGACTCAGCGCTTCAGTTTTTTGGTTGGTTGTTGGGTAGAGGCTGCCCATAGCTTCTAAAAGCCACTGGTAACTCCCTGTCATGTGATCCTCTCCATCTGCAGTTCAAAGTCGCAGCCTGCCTCAAGTCCAGCAGGAGAATTGAGAGCAAGTCTGCTAGCAAGACAGTCTTGTATATAATATAATCAAAGGAATGACATCCCATTTCCTTGTGATAAAACATGACATCCCATCATCTTTGCCTAATAAGGTTGGTTAGAAGCAAGTCACAAGTCCCTCCCACTCTCAAGGGGAGAGGGTTAAAGTCCCAAACACCAGGAGCTGCAGATCATGGGGGCCACCCTAAAATCTGTCGGGCAGACCATCCAAGTAGATTTGTCCAGTAGACAGATAAATGAGTCTAGGGTCTGGGAGAAAGGTCCAGACTAGAAATCTAAATTTAGGAGATGTGGCTATATAGATGGTATTTATAAGCCTGGAATGATTTCCAAACTCCCCATAGGATGTAGAAAGCGGAAAGAATGTTACTTTTATGCTGAAACAAGAATAAGTTGTATATTCTATAAAATAGTAACTTAAACTTACAGAAGTGGGGTGTGGGCATGGCTCACCTCTGTCAGCACAGAAAGAAAGCAGGGCTGTCATACTAGCAGGAAAATTAATGAATTGCTAAAGTCCAAGTATAGGCAAGAATGAGCAAATAGAATTCTTCGGAGCTGCAGACACAAAGACAGTTCATACCCTCCTGCAGGTTTTTCTGCAAGGACTGCTAACAGTTGCTTAGGAGAGAAATGGGGGTGGGGAAGCAAGGGAGACCAGAGAAAGCTTTGGTGGGTGGTACAGGCCTATTTGGACCTTTAAGCCAATGAGAAAGGAAGTAAACCCTGTTTTCCATTGTATCTGGGAAAAGTAAAAAGAAAAAGAAAACCTACAAACCCCAAGGGAACGGCAGGAAACTATTAAGGGCTTCGATTATTAGTATTAGAGTTTTTCTGCCTCTGGGAGAGAGCCCCAACCCCTGTAACCGAAGGACCTAGGACCTACCTGAGACTGAGACTGGGCCAGGACAACATCCTTGTTGCTGCTATCAGGTCAGGCAACAGCAGTCTACCCCTGGGAGAGGGTCAAGAGTATGGAGTGAGCCTCTTTGGGCAGATGCACAGATACAGCCTAAGGCTGAGTGTGCAGCAAGAACACTGAGAAAAACCCTCTGACAGAGCAGCCCCAGCTTAAGCAGAAAGTCACGCTAGAGGAATTTGAAGTTGGTGGTACACTTCAGGTAATCCAAACAACAAAATCCAGACCCAGCTCAATTCCTGAATGACTCAACCCCTTCCCAACACACGTGCACACACACCCTAATGAAGAGGTGTACCCTCTTGATTTCCCATTTCTGAGCATAAATACTGTTTAGTCTACTCTCTTACCCATGATGTCTGTAATTCAGGCAAAAATTACAAAACACATACACACAAAAAAAGCCTCACTGTCAGAAACCAAAACAATAAACAGAACCAGACTCAGAATTACCTAGCTGTTGGAACAATCAGAGAGTGAATTTCTTTTCTTTTTTTTTTTAATTACTGTCTTGAGCGACTTATACAGAGAGTGAATTTCAAATAACAATG